ATATTAACGTTGTAGCCCATCCGGGGTACAACAAAACGTATAACAAAGACTATATCACAGATTATTTTCTCTTTGTGGGTGAATTAACAAATGAGAATTTCAAAAAGAACTTAGAACTTAAGAGTTGTTAGATGGGCAGTCGGAACTCCTTTTCCTATAATAGCGCCATCTAGGGGATTTAGACAAGTTGATCGCCACAACAAGCGACACCATGAACATTTACCTTAATGATGTCATTGATTTTGTAACTTTTTTCTGGCTACCATAGATATAGGCTGCGTTCCGTAACTCATTGCCAGTACTGGCAGTACTGTAATGCGTTCCGACATTCATTTCAGTGTGCTGCGATAGCACTACAATAGAATAATGACGTCATAAATTTTGTCGTCACTTCCTGCTGCGGCTACTGTAACTAAAAAGACGCAGCAGTCACAGTACAAAATGGCAACGTTCGAGAAAGAAGAATTAATTCTACTCGATGCAGACACAAATATTCAATATAAAATAATAATAAAGAAAACGCACAAAAAGCATTGCGAGATAAAAAGAAAGTTTGATATTTATATTATAGCGGATTCGATCATTCGCGCTACCAAGTTTATATAAACATTATTTTATACGAAATTATTGTTTTAATTGCTTTTCAAGAGAGATCATGCATCTACTTGATTTTCCATCTTTTTCTAAGATTGGCCATATTAATTCCAATATAAAAAAAATTTATTTCGATGTAATCTAAAATAAATATATTTTAGTAAAATTACAGAAACAGTTTATCGTATCTACAAAGAACAAAAGATTATAAAAATATACTGAAAGTGAGTTTTAAATTTTTTTATTTGTATATCGAGATACTACATCTTCTACAATTTTAGGTATAGAATTTGATCTTTTCTTTAATATTAGGTGTCGCGTTGGATGACACCCGTTTAACCACGTCCCGATTGATCACTAGCCATTCACAGCGCTTGAACAGTAGAAAAATTCTAGGCACCGGCTCCTGTGAATGGTTGTGGTCAATCGAGACATGGTCAAATGGGACTCTCCCGGTCGCGTTCAAAAAATGCAACGGTTGAGTAAGTATTTGTCAAGGTAATTGATCTAAATTCAATTGGATCTAACAGTAAAGACCAATCATCAATAACCATTCACTGATCGCTTTGTTCCGCTGAACACATCATTATTAACATTTCCTCCATTGCATCAGAGTCACTATCAGATTTACCGCTACTTGATTCCATTATATGTGCAATATCATAAAAACTTAATTATAAAAACTTTTTCTATTTTCTTATATTATTATATGACAGCATCATATGCAGTTGTACACAATACTGTTCAATCCTGTTCCGTTTTCATAATTTCACAGTACAGCGATAGTGAAGTAAAAACGGAATGCATAGCACACTATAATGACGTTATGCTGACAGTATTGCCAGTAAGTTACGAACTCCCTCCTGGTGTGCCATCTTGACGTGGTGAGGGAGCTCCCTGTCCCTATGACCACCTGCTGGCAGTACCAGGATCCAACCGGGATCCCCGGGAAAGCCCGGGTGCGAGAGGTCAGGGTCTAAGGACACACCGACTCTGGGTCCGGTCCTCCAGTAGAGTGTCGGATCTCCTTCGGGAG